AACGTCACTAATATTGACGTTTTTGAATCGTCACTCATCTTGACGTTTTCATAACCAATCCAAAAATCGCTTTGGTTATGAAAACGTCACTAATATTGACGTTTTTGAATACGTCACTCATCTTGACGTTTTCATAACAATCCAAAATCGCTTTAGTTATGAAAACGTCACTAATATTCACGTTTTTGAATCGTCACTCATCTTGACGTTTTCATAACAATCCCAAAATCGCTTTGGTTATGAAACGTCACTTATATTCGATGTTTTTGAAACCGTCACTCATCTTGACGTTTTCATAACCAATCCACAAAATCGCTTGGTTATGAAAACGTCACTATTTTGACGTTTTTGAATCGTCACTCATCTTGACGTTTTCATAACCAATCCCAAAATCGCTTTGGTTATGATAACGTCACTAATATTGATGTTTTTGAATCGTCACTCATCTTGACGTTTTCATAACTAATCCCAAAATCGCTTTGGTTATGAAAACGTCACTAATATTGATACGTTTTTGAATCGTCACTCATCTTGACGTTTTCATAACCAATCCCAGAATAGATTTGGTTATGATAACGTCACTAATATTGATGTTTTTGAATCGTCACTCATCTTGACGTTTTCATAACTAATCCCAAAATCGCTTTGGTTATGAAATCGTCACTTATATTGATGTTTTTGAATCGTCACTCATCTTGACGTTTTCATAACCACTTCTTAATGCAGCAATTGCAAAAAGTGAAGAAAAATGTATGTGTTTACACATATCGAAAGCCAACGAAAATATGAAACGTTGAATAATGTTCAAACAGAAATGTTTTCTTTGCATTTCAGCTCTACGTGCGTGTGTTTTCATGTAAAATATTTGCAGAAACGTTTGGTGTTCTCTGCTGCGGTGTGGATACAGATGGGAAGTAGAAGATAAAAAAAAGAAGACCTTTTACGAATCAAAAGAAACTTTTCATCTGCCCACTCCCATTACATTTCGAATGCATGGAATGCAAATTCCGTCGAGAACTTTTACATCATAATAATATTTCTATGTACATATAAATTCGATTCTCCTGGACATCTTCGTCCAGCCCTGCGCGGAATCCGAGCTCGGAGACCTATAAAAGTGACCGTTTAAGCTGCTTACAGTATCAGTTCATCCAGATCCATCCACCTCAACTACAGCATTTTCCAGTAATTCGTGTATAAGAGCTGCAAGAATATGGTTCAAAGGTAAAGCGAAACTGAATTGTATAAATAAATGAAAATTGAGTAATTTTTGTTTGTTTGTTGTCACAGCAAATGGATTTTGATCGGAGCCATCCTCCTCGTCGCCTCCTGCTTGATGCAGTGCTCTGGTCAGGTGACCTTCTCCACCGACTGGAGACCAGGCGGCAAAAGGGCCTTCCAATCTCAAGAAATCAGGGCCGCACTGAAGTCCGCCTCTGCTCTCTACAAACTTTTGGTCGTAAGTCCAATTTTTCATATTTCTTTACATCTACTTTTCTCTAGTTACTAGTCAATAAGTAAAGCATACTAAATTACATCAAAAAACAATTTTCAATTCATATTTAGATCATTTTTGTTGTTGTTGTTTCATTTCTTTTGTTGTTGTTTCATTTTTTTTGTTGTTGTTTCAGAATCAGATTAGAATTTTGGCAGAGACCGAAAACTGTCAGACTGCAGGTCAGGACTTCGGCCCACTCCAACTCCTCAACGACAACAGGAAATAAAGAGATGAATCGAATCGCAGTTTAAAAACATATATATGATTTAATCCATTTCGACATGTAGACATAAATATGATTTAGATGACTTGAAAATAAATAAACATTCTGAAATATATATATAAAAATTGTCTTAATCCAATCCTTTATAAAAATCTAAACTAAAAATATTTAGTCTTAATTACTTTAAATTTCATATATTTTTGATAATTTTTAAACATGAAAATGAATTTGAATTATCAAACTAAATAAACAACATTTAGTTAAGAAATCTAATACAAATTATTGAAATCAGCTGATTTTGACAGATTTCATGTTTATATAATTTAATATTTGACATGTGTCAATATGCAAATCTTATAACATTGTTATTCCATTACTTTGATTCATCAACTATTTTATAATTTCTATGAATACAAACGTTAAAGCTATTATTAATTAGAACATCATCATTAATTAATATTTTTTGTTATAAATCTCATTAAAATTTCTTAATTTTAATCATTATATATAAAATCAGCTGATTTTGACAGAACTTATGTTTATAAATAAAAAATAAATATTTGACATGTGTCAAATTTTGTAGGTGCGAATATTACAAATCTTATAATATTATTATTATATTTTTGTGATTCATGAATTCAAACGTTAAAGCTATTATTAATTAGAATATCATCATTAATTAATATTTTTTGTTATAAATCTCATTAAAATTGCTTAATTTTAATGATTATATATAAAATCAGCTGATTTTGACAGAGCTTA